GACTACTTTTCTTTGAGCTTCTTTTTCAGCTTTTTTGATCTTTTTTGCATCATCGTCATCCTCGGCGAGTTCATTCTCTACGTATTTGCCTACGGTCTTCCACCCGTATTCTAACTCTCTCTTCAAATGGTTCATCTTAGTGTCCATCACTTCGACAAGCTTAGTCATCAATGTGTTCTGTTGTCTCTCTATCTCTTCTTGTAGTTTTGTATCCATACTTGCAGTCAAATAATGCTTGGAAAAATAAAGACCTCGATGATAGAATGAAAGCTTGTGTCAAGAAAAAGAGAAAAGCGAAAAACAACGTCAAATAAAAGCAAGACAAAATTAGTGTGCCGTGCTTAACCTTGCAGTCAGGCTAGAATGAAACCCTTCGCCTGCGAAAGCCCGCCTTTTGCCGTTCGTTGCGTCATTATCTCCATGGCAACCACTCTCCATATTAGGCGAACCGTGAAAACAATATTTTGCTTCTATTCTTCGAACCGAAGCAAACAGCAATTTTATGAGGGTTCGTATGGGGAAATACGCTGCATGGCAAAAGCTTATCAGCCAACATTTTTCACATACAAATCCTTTTAAAATGTTTGATTTCATATTTAATGTTATTTATCCTATAGTCAACATTTCGAGCTGAAACTTCGCCCTCTCACTAAAGTTGAGGTGCTCTTTTCACTTATGGAGATCATTTTGACTCATTTGCTCGTTATTTTGAAGGGGGATGGGGTCACGTGACCTGTTAGTGCAAGACGTCTATTAATATACTATTATAAAATGATGATTAAATTACGTAATATTACTATACAGCATTAGCAATAGGTACCTCCAGTTCTATGTACTAAAAAACGTATGTGTGACTACATTGATTTTCGACACAAGACGTAACATTTCATTTATTTTTGATCAAACGTTAACACTTTTAAACAAATAATATTAGAAGTAGTCACTAATTCGGGATACAAGTTTTGCTTCGAAATCATTCAGGGTCAGAAGTCTGGCATTGTAGGCACTGAGAATATATGGTATAACTATGTAACTAACATAGAGTCTGTAGTAAAGTAACGACACTTCTTTGGGAAGTTTGTGCATTGTAGGCACTGAGAATATATGGTATAACTATGTAACTATCATAGAGTCTGTAGTAAAGTAACAACACTTGTTTGGGAAGCATGGGCTGTAGGGTGTGGTACAGCTGGGGTAAAGCATTGTCTCTGCTTTTCTTTCCTTTCTCGTATACCTCAATCTCTCTCTCGTTCTCCTATTCATCCATTCCCACCTCCTCTCCCTTCCCACCTTCTATACCTTCCCCTCTCTCTTCCTCCCCATGCCTTCTCCATCCTCACTCCTCTTTTCCCTATGTCACTCCATTTATTTGTTCTCTTTCTCCCTCGTTTACTCATTATCCTATAATGATTAGAAATATATGTCCTTATACATTTGTATTCTAGGATGAAAGTCTAGAAAGAAAGTGTAGTTCATCATTTTGATCGATTTTGGCCTGGTTTTTTTCACCCGATGTTCTTAAAAATTAATTTATGGAATTTTTTAAATAGAGGAGTTTGACGGGGCAAAAAGCACTATACCCATGGTTTTGATAGTTTTTGGCCAAGTTTACACCTTTTTAACTCGTGGTTGCGCGAAACGCAGAACTCACAGATCAAACCCTTGAACAACCTCTGGGCTGATCGAAGTCAGGGCATGGCAGAACTTACAGATCGAACCCTAAAACAACCTCTGGGATCACGGCTAGGTCACACTGATCGAATTAGAATATAGCGTGTTAGGTATTTTGGAAAGAGAAAAACTGGGAAACCTATGACAAACCCTCAAATTAAGAGAGAGTGCTAACAATCCCTACTCGCTTGAAATGCCAAGTCCTGCAGGATTGAATCAAAGCAGCCGTCCCCAGAGGTGAGAGACGAATGTTATGGTACCATTCTATCTACCCCGCTTCACTTACTTAACTGAGCTGCGCATGCTAATACTTAATGTTGCACTCGTGATTGCGAACTAACATGGATTACGGATCCAATAACAAGGACTTTAATCACAGGGTTGACTTTTAACATGAAAATAGCGACACAGCATATTTTGTGCAGTTTCTAGCGCCTAACTGTCCCAACTCGACTCCTCAGATTACAGCGCAACTCACTCAAGATACATTGGAGTATGTATATGGAGGGGGTTTAGTGGTGAGATCGAGCGCTGTTGCTTGTTGGCTCTCTCCTGTGCTGCGAGGGTTTTCTCTAGGCCATTTTTTTCTCCTGGGTTTTCCTTCCTCCGTAAAAAAGCCAACAGTCGATATACTTTCAAAAAAATTCAAAACAAAATTCAAAAAAATATCCCATGCTTATGTTCTCTTTTTAAGAAAACATTGGCGAATAGCCCAATGGCAAAAAAATAATATCCAGTGATAACTGGCCTTGAGGACGCTCCTTCCCACCCTGAAAGTTGGCGAGCCTGAAGGAAGGTTTTGGTCATCTTTCTTAGAGATGCACCATTAGATAATTGAGGGACAGGGGGTTGCATGAATTTATGCTGCACGTTATTGATTTTTGCGTTTGATAGATATTTCTTCACTGGAAGGAAAGGTTGCCGGACATTTTTGTACCTAGGTGAAGTGCTTGCTCGATATTTTTTTGGGGACTTGCGTAGAAAGCCAATTGCTCAACGGCCCTATTTCATAATGACGTCACATCAAACATACTATCGTTTTAACGCTAGGGATCATGGTCGCTGGAGGGGGATGGAATGACAACGACACATCTCAATCTCAACAATTCACAATGAAATTTGGTTTATGAGCTTGTGAAGGCAAGAACAACTAGATATTACGCTAAATATCTCGAAAAAAGAGAATTAAGCTTAAATTTAGCCTGAATTTTTATCATTTTAGCCGATGTAAACAAACCGTGACGTCATTATGATATAGGGCAATTATCTAAAAAAAATCTACCAGTTTTGTCTGTAATCACAGAGTGGGACAATCACGAACGGAACCCTCAGATCCATGCTAGGTGAAAGCCCAAGATCAAATTGGAATTTAGAAGTTGATTTTTGCAGAGGAAGGAAAACCGGAGAACCTGGAAAACCCTCGAAGCACAGGAGAAAGCCAACAAACAACTCTACTCACATACGAAACCGAGCACGGCGGGGCTCGAACTCGGGTCGCATTGGTGAGAGGCGGCGCATTAGCAGGGCACGCCGACCCGTGCTTCCCTTCAATGGTCCGGGATCCGTCCTTTACACTTAGTACCATTAACCAGGACGCACATCTGACTTCCATACGTGTTTGGTACAAGAACAAATACCATCCACACCCCAGTCTGTCATTCCGATGGATAAACTAGTGCATTTAATCTATAATGGCATCTGCTTCATTAAATACTGCATGGCCTTATAGTCTTTGTGCATGGAATAACAAAGCACACCGAAACTGAAGACGAAAGATTAGAGCTTTATACCGGTATGAGAAAATCGTAGTTCTCTTGTTTTGCAACTAAATCATTTTGACCTCTCTTCTGATATCTCACGCGCCAACAACTCAACTTAATCTCCCTGCAAGAAATCTTTTGCCACTGAACTTCGGCATGTCAAATATTAAATCGCCAAGTAAAGGTAGGGCATTTGACGTAAAATGTAAACGAAACTCGGAGTTTTATTGATAGCGCGCGACCGCGAAAGAATCCGAAAGACGCGCGCAAGTGCAAGAAGTCATGTAAGAGTACTTTCCAATAAATCTTCAAACATAATATTCCTCATTTATCGTTTTATTAATTCGGATATCTGTCATGACGAATGGATTCCACCAAGTGTCCGCATTAAACACATTTGGCTATTATTTTACTGGTAATCAAGATTATCGTTTCCCTTGACCATGTAAGAGGGTAGCCTCCTTTGCAGCCGTTCTTAGGGTCGTCACGCAACGTTGCGTGACGACCCTAAGAACGGCTRCAAAGGAGGCTAGTAAGAGGGCTGTGTGCGTAACTAATGTTTACAGATCAAGCGCTGAAAGCACCGCCATCAAACACTCAATATACCATTAGTAGAGCGCTTTGAAGTTTTCTCATCAAGGCCTCTTACTGTTTATCCAGTACTTGTTATCGTTAGTCTACGAAGATGACCCACAGACATTCAATATACTAGGACCTTTACTGACATCTGGCCACCTAACTGGTATGTAAGCTTCTCTCATATATATAAATCCATATAGTAAATCCATATATATCTACATTTGCAGTCAATCCGACTTGAGGATCAGGAACTATTGAACCCTGCTAGTCAACATGCTATGAGTTAAGAGATCAGCGCTTTTTCTACCATTCTTAGAATCAACAAATTACTGATCTTTTCCCATCTTGTCTTTCAGTTCGGATATCGACTCCACGGATCACCACAGACGACAGATCCAGCCACCGAGTCTAGTTCCACGTCGGGGACCAATTTTCTTTCCTTCCTGTTCCTATTCCTTATTACCAAGGGTGGCATTTGATAGAATGGGCGATGTCCAGGAGAAAAATAAAGCGGGGAGACAGAGGAGGTATTGCTGAAACTGGGACTGAAACCGTCTAAGGGTTCAAGGAAGAATCTTTCAAGAACCAGAAGGAATGTTTTGGCATGGTGTTAGGTTTGCCAAAACAAACCCCACTGTCAAACTTTCAATGAAATACTATTCAAGATTGGTTTTCCAAAAGGAATTGACTGCCCTGCCCCTTAAAAGTACTCACAGGTCAATCAAAACAGATTCGCTTTCACTTGATACCAATTAAGTCTCTGTCGTCAGAGGAGATATCGTCACTTAGTCGCTTTGTTATCGTATCAAGTTCGCACTGTGGGTCTGAACCAACAGAAAAAAGTCTTTATTCGCGCGCCTGGAGCCTCGTATTTATATCTCTCCCCAGAAACTATACAATCGTTTGTCATTGCAAAAGAATTTAGAGACCAACAGTAAGGGACTTGGCAAATACTTTACCCAAGTGTTCATTCAATCTCAATAACAAGACAGTAAAATTTATAAGTAACTTTATAATACAAACGAACTTACTGGAATCAGCCAGTCTTGTCGCGGAGAACTACTGTATAGCAATGGAACGTGTGAGTGTTTTAAGTGTGCTGCTTGCTGTATGTTTAGTTTGTTATTCCTCAGGAGTTTATCAATACGGAGGAACGTCCCTATATCTTTATAAAGATGGCCAGAACAACAGACCTGAGCAAAGGTAGGTTAATCATTTCAAATCTATCTATTTTATATACGGACACTTAGATAGATATTGGCACATTGTCAGTTAGCTTTCCCGTACGTAGAGTTACATCATTGAATTTCATTCATTCAGTGATCAATGTGGGAAGATTTAAAAATAGTCAAAATAATACCAAAGTGTTCTAGTTTAGTAATCGTGAGTTTTATAGTGGCGGTTGAAGTCGCGGCACATATTCATCACACTCACACACTCGTGGGTCTTCACGAATGGAAACGTGAGGAGTTACCGTTATTAAAAGGCGATTTCTTGACGCGAAAGAAGTCACAGAGTAAAATCAGTTTTAAGCGATTTATGTTTTCGCTAAGCCATTGAGATTATTCGACCGCTCGCCGGCTGGCTACGGCAAAAGAATTTGAGGGATTTACTCAAAAGATATAATTAAAAAACAAACAAGACAGTTAACATTTGGTGGATTAAATAATATAGTCATATCAACTTCAATATTTTCAAATGAATTTTTGAATTAGTTTTATCAAATCTTAGTCTGCCTGATTGAAATCATTCAGTTCGTTTTGCATTTGTTTTAGTTTATCTACGTAGTACGGTTTAAGTGCTTGGCTAATTACTTGAGATCATTTCTGTAGCATGAAACAACAACACCGTTTTTGTTCTTTGTTTACAAAGCTTCATCGATGATTTTTGCAGCTGCTACGAACCAGTGTTGTTCTTGCAGTACTTCTGATTGCTCAGCAGAAGTTTATCACGACTCTCAACCCACAACCACACCGTCAGATACGCATAAAAAAACCTAGTCAAAAGAAAGAAAAAAACATACAAGCATTCTATCTATATAAAAAAAAAAAATGCAGACAAATTGATGTGGAATTTTTCAAAATTAGGAGTTACGACATTTTAATGTAGTTTAAAATGAAATTGTAGTGACTAGTGTAGTATAAAATCTTTCGGTGACATATTAATAAAAATGGTTTAAGCTCTGATCGAAACGCAAGGACATGAACAATGTTTTGTAATTTTTGATTTTTTTCAGTGGGAAAATAAGAAATTGTGACAGCTTCAACTTCTTCGGAATTTTAGCTCGGGGAAAATCTTCTGGCAAACAAAACTAWTTAAGTTAACAAAGTAATTTTTCCAACATAAGTTTTCAATTGCATCAATGTCATGTGAACATGTGAATGCCTTAGTGAATTTACAACAAGCAAATTATGGCAATCTTGTTGCAGAATCCGGAAGCAAAGGTTGATTATACGCCCTCCAGCCATCCAGTCCTATAGTGATGGAATTCAACAACAGGAAATGCGGTCACTAATGAATTATTAATGTATGGGTAGTTTAGATACTTAGAGTATCATTAGAGAGGTTCGTATGAATGGCAAATCACCATGTTGTAACCGTAACGAATCTTATCTGTGACTGTAACTACGCTTGCGATTGCATGAATTACTCAGGAAGATGATGACCCGGGGTTTAGTTGAATCAGTCAAGGGGTTCTTATCTCTATCTATAATGCATGTTATCAGCCGCATCTTTTGACTCCAGCATTGAATTTCAAGAGAGGAATAGCCTTATCGCTATCAAATCAGTGGTCAGGCTTTAACCTGTAATAAAATCGATAACAATGTCGATGAAAACCACAGGAATGCGACATACTTTAACCATATGCCTGTATATGCAAGTGACAGACGTTCTATTATCTTTACACAAGGATGCAGAGAATGGCTTCAAAGGTCCTCTAATTCCCTCCTTATTTCCAATATGGTTTCTATTTTGCCCCCTAAGCAGCCCCACAATGCACTGTAATGCCAACTCGACCCACTTTCTTCCTCAACCTCGGAATGGCTAATACTAATGCGAAAACATGATCCAATCCTAGATGAAACAACCTCTGGGCTGATCTATGTCAGGGCATGGCTAACTTACAGATCAAACCCTAGATGAAATAATCTCTGGGCTGATCTATGTCAGGGCATGGCTAACTCACAGATCAAACCCTAGATGAAACAATCTCTGGGCTGATCTAATTCAGGGCATGGCTAACTTACAGATCAAACCCTAGATGAAACAATCTCTGGGCTGATCTAATTCAGGGCATGGCTAACTCACAGATCAAACCCTGTAACAACCTCTGGGCTTATCTAAGTCAGGGCATGGCTAACTCACAGATCAAATCCTAGATGAAACAATCTCTGGGCTTATCTAAGTCAGGGCATGGCTAACTNTCTAAGTCAGGGCATGGCTAACTCACAGATCAAATCCTAGATGAAACAATCTCTGGGCTTATCTAAGTCAGGGCATGGCTAACTCACAGATCAAACCCTGAAACAATCTCTGATCATGAGCTGATATGTGTCGGGTCACGGCTAACTCACAGATCAAATGGGAATATAATTAGTGTGTTAGATGTGGTCGAGGGAGGAAAACCACAGAGAACTCGGAGAAAATCGGCGAATCAAGGGAGAGGCCTAACAAACTCTGCTCACATGTGATGTCAAGTTCAGGAATCGAACCTGAGGCCCCAGAAGTAAGAGACGACTACACTACCACTACACCACCGACTCTTTCTTTCTCTATTTATTCTCTATTCATAGTTTAATCACGACATATCCCTATTACCTTTCAGTCAAGGTTATGGTTATTTGCCTCTTTACAAAGGCGCCAACTCTAAGCCACCCGTTAACAGACCTCCAGCAGAACCCTTATCTTACACGACCACTAGCACTTCCGACCAGAACCCGACCATCCAGGTAGACGGAGGTTCTGTAACTGGTCATGGTGGCTCAGGAAGATTTTGCTTGTTTGAAACTGCGCGTCAAGTACCTTGTCCCGTGGCTGTCAACAAGAAGGTTAAGCAGAATTACCGTTATTACTGTGGCAACCTGTTCCAGAAATTCTGCTCCGGTCAGAGGTAAGAAAAAACCCCTCAGGATAAGCCGGCTCAGTAGATTAACGAAGGACTGATAGATTGTGGTGGAATGTTAATTACAGTAGTAATAATCCGTGGACGCCACACTGAGTAAAGCCTTGGTTAGCATGGTTAGTACCTGGATGCGGGGTGACCCGGAACTTTTACCTATAGTCAGAGTTTTGACCGATCCTCATTTTCGCCTTTTCTTCTCATTCTAAAGATACTTTAAGAGATACAAACATTTTGAGGTTTTTTCCCCTTTAACCCTAAATAGCAACACATTCTTGTGTACCCAAAAACTTTGGCAGTCCCCTTGCGAGAAAATTCATTTCCAGTTTCACGGTCGTTCCCGCCAAGGACAATATAATTACTCTTGGCTTAATAGACAGACCTCTTTACTTTCGTTGTTTGTTGTACCATTACAAACCATGTGATGCCACTCTTGGAGGTTTATCATTTTCATATATCTATATAAATATTTTTGAATGTTCATCATAAATGAAATCCCCACCACCACCACCATCATCATGAAGATGATTCTCATGTAGGGGAATGTCACGTGTCAAATGTACCTTTATATAAATCACGCATAAAGCTATGACGTATAGTTGTGCGAGGCATATGCCGGAACTTCCAGGTTTTTTTGGCGCGCGGTCGCCGTGTGTAGAGGGGATTTCTGGGAGTAATCTGATTGGCTGATACTCAGGCAATACTATATAGTGTATTGTATATAATATGCCTAGTCACCTCATGCCAGAGAAGCCGTAAACAAGAATCCGATGTAAGGATGAAATACAAAATTCTTTTTTTCCCTACCAGAGTGTTTGTATCTCCTTTTAAAAGTATTTTAAGCAGTATGATTTATGATTTATGATTTATGATTTATGATTTATGATTTATGATTTATGATTTATGATTTATGATTTATGATTTATGATTTATGATTTATATAGCGCCCTTTAATATGCGGATATAATCAAAGGCGCTTTACATGGAGTTGTGAATGACAGATTGCTTTATGCAATTTACAAACATGAGAGATGGTTAGTATGAAGTGTAGGCAGTAAATACCTTTTGGCGCTCACTCATATGTGATGGTATTAATCTACGTATACAGATGGGTATATTTGCCCGAATACAAAATCGAGATGAAGACCGTCTATACCACTGTACGAGGTTGTTGTCCAGGATTCTCTGGACCCAGGTGTGATAAAAGTAAGTTCAAGACAGAACATTACCTATTGCTGCCTACTCATACCTCATACTCAAACTAGCTAGGCGGTATCTATGAGGATCTACTATCCCTGCCAAAATATGTTGGCACAACTAAAACATCGAACAACGTTGTACACGTCTCCCCTCATAGGCGGATCCAGAACCATTTCAGGAAAAGTGTGTATGGCGGTATATATGAGGTCGACAAGGAAGATCTTCAATCCCTGCCAAAAGTTGTTGACACGGTGGGGGGCTTGAAAGCCAAATTCCTTTCAAAGAACCCTTACTTTTGTAATTTTGGGTCATTTTCTAATTGTTGGTTTGTCCATAACTACACGTTGTTATATTGGATGAATTACTGAAAGACAACGGGAAGCCATTTCAAGGTTACGGCATGTCGCACCATGTACGTGCTGTAAGTCAGCACTATATTTCCTATGCACGCTCCAGGCAGGTCGTTTCGTGTTAGTGTTGTAAGTCAATACCGTTTGTTTCCTACTCATGAAAACCACTTCTTATATAATGTCAGTAAGAATGATGATGATATTTGTACTCTTTATGCACTGAGCTAGAGGTGAAGTTAAACGCTCACGATGTAATTCTTGTTTCCATAGCATGTTTTAACTGCACTGTGTTCGATAGTTGGCAGAAGAGACTCCAAGCTGTCGAAAGGGTAACATTATCAACATAATCAAATGTCACAACCCTTTCAATATTAGTTTAATTAGAAATCTTCTTACTTTAGGATCTTAAGTGGGGTGAAGTCATAGCGGTAAGGCGCTTGTCTTCAATTCACTGGGGTCATCTCTTATTGTGAAGTTTGAAACAGCGATTATTATTAATTTGATTCTATAAATATAAAACATGTGCAAGATAAGACTAAAGACACCCCCACGTCAATTTGTTGAATCTTTTCTTTTTGCCCTAGCTTAAAAACCCATACAAAACAGTTCATATGCTATGGGTCCATTATATAGACCAAAGGGCCATTAATGAGGGGAAAATTACTTATCTTAATAATATAGGTAAGTTGTAGTGCTTGGGAACGAGGTTATTCCGGGCGAAAGCCCTTGGAATTAAATTCGGAAAAATTAATTTCCGACCTCGCTGGGATTCGAACCCACGACCTTCGGAATTGTACTACCGATGCTCTACCAGCTGAGCTAGAGGTCAGACTGAGAGCAGGCCGGGGTGAAATAGATGTTAGGTCGCGGTAATTATGATGCAAAGATGAGAGTATGTGGACCGCGTGGCACTAATGAAATAGTAGAAGATAATATAGGTAAGTTGTAGTGCTTGGGAACGAGGTTATTCCGGGCGAAAGCCCTTGGAATTAAATTCGGAAAAATTAATTTAAAAATTAATTATTATCTTCTACTATTTCATTAGTGCCACGCGGTCCACATACTCTCATCTTTGTATCTTAATAATACAGCTTCTCATTAATCCTATGTTGGTAACTGTCCAATTATTTTCTTAATTGGACAGGTCTTGTTGATATGGGATTAATTTGGCAGCTATATAATTAATAGGTAATGGGATTTCATGCTCCCCAATCAAGAAATAATTAAACTCGAAAAATTCCTCTGTCAAATTGGACTCGGCCTACGGCCTCATCCAATTTTGTCAGTCCTCGGAATTTTCCTCGTCCAATTATTTCAATTATTTTTTACATATACTAATTAATTAATTAATTAATTTTCATTATCCATTCCTTACTCCCTCGCAAAAATAATATTTAATTTTACACGCACCCTCTAACCACCCCTATGCGTACGCCCCTGAAATCTGTGAATTCCAAATGATGTGACAGATTACGCAAGAACTCTGCCAAGCATAGGACAACCGACAAGCTCTACCCATGCACACAAGACGTCGAGTTCAATCGGAAATCGATTCCAGGTCACATTACTGGGCTAATTCATAACACCAGTCACGCGTGGAATGTTCATCAGCGGAAATGCAAGTCTTCAATAGAATTCTTTCGGGTCGAACACACGATTTGTAGCAATATTGAGATGGACAGACTTTTGTCATCTAATTGAAATCTAGCCATTGTGTAGTCCAAAAATGGACCCACCAACAAAAATAGACCCACTATTCAGAGGATTGTGGCGGGTCCAGTTTATGCAGTTATGGGGCAGCAATTGTCCAGATGCGATGCTCTAAGCACATTGCTAAGTTATTACCACAAACTTACCTCACGAAATGTTTTCATTATTCTTTAGCTGCTGAAAGGATCACCTTCTCCTCCCAAACCACACTTAACTAATGGAGTTGGGCAATTAGGACCCCGCGGACCTGCCGGGCCACCCGGTCCCCAAGGACCTGCTGGGCCCCAGGGTGCCGATGGACCTGCTGGTCGCAAGGGTTCCGCAGGACCCCCAGGACCCAAGGGTTCCGCCGGACCACCAGGTACTTTTCACGCCTTATTTTCCCTCGTACTAGACCGTTTAAATTTAGATTTGCAATTAACATGCTTTCTTTCTATGAACATGTTTCTTTATATGCCATTCCAAGGTTGAGGGGAAAAAGTTTGCATTACAATGCATTGTGGACCTGTTTTGGGGGACAAATTTCCAAGATGACGTCTATATATTTCGTCCCCTAGAACAGTCCTAAAACTTACTGTAATGCCAACTCGACCCGAATTTTTCCTTTACTTCAGAATGGCTAATATGTGGCTGGTGAATCTTAAAAGTTGACCATGCTTTTTTGTGGTATGTCTTGCTATACAGTCCTTTGCCTAAACGTCGTTTGATCGGCTTCATCCCTACGCGCCTAGACCGAAAAGGATCATAAGGATAATTAATTCACAGATACTAGCTGCCGCATATGTTATCTAACACGTCTTAAGCAAGTTGTACTGGACTGGAAATACTAAAGTTTTGGCTCTTATCCCCAAAGTAACCTAATTCGAAGCTACTATCTGTAGCCGGCGATAACTCGTCTGAACAGCGCTCAAGCAGATAATCTTTTAGCGCCTGTACGTTGTCGATATTTGGGACAACATCCTTATGGAATATGATGTGAAACGCCTCTTGCTTTCCTTTGTGCATTTTGCCCTCCATTGTGCATTGTGTCACCGACTGATAGAGAACAATTAATTATTCGTGTTAATTTACCCGTTATCCTTTTCGGTCTAGGCCCGTAGGGATGATCCAACCAACGACAACGTTTAGTCAAAGGACTGTATACCACGGTCGTCCAAATCTGTTGTGTTCATTTTGTAGGTCTATCAATACCTGGCCCAAAAGGATCCTTAGGGCTTCCTGGCCGTCCGGGTGAATCGATCGTTGGCCCCGCTGGACCTCGAGGACTACCTGGCATCCAGGGAAAACCAGGACCCCCGGGACTCCCGGGTGTACCGGGTATACCTGGAAGAAGATCCCCAACTGTTGTGTCTGGCGGAGAACATCCTACTTCCGTAAGAGACAATACATGTTGCATTAACCAGCTGAGCGGTAAACTATATTTCCGCCAATCACAGCGCGTTAAGCTGTTTTGCCGCCGGCGCTCATTCCCAGGCTACTGTAACCCAACCCGTATTTTTCTGTGTTCTATTAACGTGTCAACAAGAAGCAGAAATATGGAAAGGAAGAAAAAAACTATTTCACTTTATCGCCGTGTTTACTTACGTTCTTCCAAGCTCCAAAAATGCTTAGGGCCGATCATTTTACCACTCATGCTTTGTTCGCCGCGTTCACCCATCAACTGGAAGAGAATCGATATTAGTGGTAGCACCTTTGTCTATAGTTGGGCTTTGGACCAGCATATTTTATCGCTATTAAGCCGGCTGGCTGATGGCCATCCTCTGGGAGAATTGCCAAGTGGTCGCTAACGGGAGGTTGGCCGAGAGGTTTGAACGGATATTAAAATACAAAACAAAAGCCACAAATTCAATCCAGGACAAGGGTGATTCCTTTTTAATTTTCGTATTAGCCTCGCATTCAAGATAATTTTGAGAAGGGTCCTTTGGTGCTAAAACCTTAATTTCTTTGGGACTTTGACAAGTGGCCTCCGAAATTGCAAAATATTTTCAAGACGCCAAAATGAGTGTTTTCGCCGCTGAGTCGCTAAAAACTGTCAAGGTAGTTGCCAATAGAACAACAGTTTCAAATACGAAAGGCTGATTGATATAATTGAATATGCTAGCTTGAACTCAAGATTTTTTGTTTGACTATTCATTTGTTTTGATTTTATTCAGTAATCTGTTTCGGTCATTTTTTAGACTATGGATATGAAAGACCTTATGGAAGAGTTTTCTGCTTTGCTTTTTAGAGTGAAAGAACTCGAAGACAGAGGTAAGTGGCCTGCGTACATCCAAAAACCTGCCGAGTTGTTGAAATCACTGAAATATGAAAAAACAAGCGCTCTAGTTTCACAATCACCGCATGAAGGAAGCAGATCGATAGGGAAAGGGGTTTTGAGCCTAGAATCTTGTCAAGCCTCATTATCTTCCCCATTATAACCATTCCGAAGTTGAGGAATAAAAAACTGGGCGAAGTTGGCATTGCAGTGCACTGTGGCGCTGTTTTAGTGGACATATTTCAAAAAAGGCATCTATTTTGCTCCCTAAAATGTCCCAAAATACACTGCGATTACAACTCGACCCAGTTTTTTTCTCGATCTCGGAATGGCTATGAACATGGCGACCTGTATCGTTCTGAGGATAAAATAATTGAATTAAATTTTTGAAGGAATAACTAGGAAATACGAATAATACAGGCACATAGCGGATAGCTGGTCACTGACCAATATCGATATTTTGCCCAGTTTCATCCAATATGTTTCTTACGTCATAATTATAACAGTTATTTCTTAAAAAAATATATAAGAGATCAGAGTGGTTCATACATGTTTCTGTTTCTACTTCTACTATCCAACTAAATGCTTTCGTTGTTTTAGTCGAAGCGTGCAACTGCCCTGTGCGGAGAGAGCCAGCTCTAAAGCCAACAGATCAGATTCCCAGAACCGTAAGACGATACCCAAGCCCCCCTAAAGAACGGATCCCACCAACGCCCGAAAAGGAAGTAGTCCCGACCACCCCTGATGACATGTTTGGTCCTCCTGCATTGTAAATAAATAAAGATTGATGTAAAGCTATTATAACTGGACTAGTGGGGAGAGGAGGTCTTTAGAGGAACTTAATTATGACTGGAGAAGCCTTAGTACGGTATAGGGACTTTATATATTAAGTGTTTTGATCGGATGGTGTTCATTTTGTTGTCTTGATTAAAGACCCATTGCCACTTACCGTGATGCACCGCAGTCACAGATGAATTTCGTGGTCCATGAAATTCAAAGATTCATATATTGAATAATAACTTCATATTAAATCCTTTTCCGACATAGCACTAAGGCACAATAATGATTCTTTTACATTCTTTCAAGAGTTTATTCAAAAGGTTGGAATTGTTTTTTCGGTGGTGACACGATTCAAAATGTAAACAAATTGTGATGCATCACGGTAAGTGGCAATGGGTCTTTAATTGATTTATTTCGGAATCCAATTTAAATAAAAGAGTTAAAAGAGTTGAACGCAGCACCGTCGCCGTCACGAACACAGCGGTCATAGCGTGGGCCCATACCGTAAGGTTTTTTATGTCATACATCTAGTCTAAAGTTTACAAACATTTTTATGGATCCCCTTTCTAGGTTAAGAAAACTCACAAGGGCTATACAATAGGAAAGGACTAAGCAGAAAAATGAAATAGACAAGACATGGCGCAACGTTTAGTGTCCCCACTGTTAATGTTTCTATTGTAACTTTACCCAAAATGCCGGCTATGACGTCGCGTTGATAACACACGTCACATGTGACGACAAATGACGTCACATATACGTGTTGCCTGTTACAACGTGCACGTGTGTTTGAAACAACACCGTACACGTGAATTCAGATTGGCTGTCTTATTTATAGACCTTTTCTGAAATAGAGAACATGGTGCATTGTGGTCCATATCTTCGGTACAATTGCCTTTGTTCCTCATGCCTTGTTGTTTGTACCGAAGCTAAACCACAATGCATCCTGTTTATCGAACTAAGAAAAGGCCTAAAGGTACATCCATTGATCTATCTGAACAGAAAATCGAAAAATTAAATAAACTTTACTTTCTTTTTGTCCTGCGTCTTCTGCAGCAGATATCTCAAATACGCCATCATGCGGTCTACCCTGTTGATGTAACTGCAAAGTGTTGTTAAAGGTGTTGTTTTTAATCGCGCAATAATACTGTAGGACAAGAAGGCAAGAAAATTGTCTAGTGTTTCCACAACCTTTAGGGCTATTTGCTTAGTTATAAAACAGTTTTTAAAAAGAATCTGTAATTTTGGTTTATTAAAATCAGTTTTTTTAAAATGTGAGGTCGGTAATTTAGAAAGTCCGGAAAGTGCGCCGCCCGGAAATTTCGTCATCATTGTCAGCGGATTCTTCTTGTCACATTGTCATTCAACAGGACGGGAGCGTGATTAAAGAATATTTTAAATGCCATATCATTCTCTTATAGATCTATATTTTAATATTTCACACACTTAAAACTTGTAGTTCATAATATTAAAAATAATATCTTTTCACACGCTGTTACATCCCTACTGTATAATGTCCACTGACCAACCCCAAAAAGCAGTACACATATTATTCGCCATCAAGTCACATCATCGCAGCCATGTTGGAGATATTAAATACCACCAACATGGCCACCGTGTCTCTTTGGGGAATGTTTGACAATCATTGATTCTTACACAACACTCATCTAATTATTTTAACCTGCAATCTTCCACAATCAGTTTTTAACCATTTTCCTGTCACCATGAATGTCTGTTTCCTCTCGAACCATCCTGCTCGAAATTAGAACAAATTAATAGGGTTTTTTCCTATTTCAGACCCGTTATCTTTCCCATGAAAGTTCTTATCATTGTTTGGTGGTTACAGATTCGAACAAATCGTCCTAGTTTTCACGAGGGTAGCAATTAATAGTCAGTGGTTAACAAACATTTGACCCTTGTTCCATGATCGAATCGGAATTTAGAGGAAAACCGGAGAGAAAACCTTGAAACATTGTCTTGTTGCCAATGGTACGTGGTCTGTAATGGGGATAAACATAACGCCAAAATAACATGCATTCTACGTAATATACAATTATTTTTTTCCGAGCGCATATTCTATACTTACAAAGATGACTCAAACAGAATGGTTCTATGGAAACAGTAATTCAGTCACTAACAACCCTTGGTCTGACTGCCCTAGGTGAATATAAGCTACATTCATTACTTAGAATGGAAATAATCACGAAAAAAACGGCCAAGGACCAATGCGATACACCGTGCGCCAGCGCCGGTACAATAAAATCTAGCTATAGGTACAGTAAGAATAGATTAAGATTTACGAATCGAAGAAAACAATAAATAAGAATGTAATCAGGTAAAAGGAATGCTATGTACCGTATTGAAAACTTCTTGAAAAAATGTGCACCATCACGAAGTCCACGCCCATAATACATCTTGGGCTGCCTGTGGTTAGATGGCAGAATAATAAAATCCCTCTGCTCTTGGGAATTGAATTCTTTCTCATGTAAAACGATTGTATTGTTCCAGCCATTTTACATGGCTGCTGTCACGTGATGCTGCAAAACCTCTATATGGGTTCCAAGCATTCCCAAGAGAGCTACGAGACGAAAGCATGGTGGCCATTGTGTTGCCGTTAACAATGGATGCTAATAAGAAATCGTTTGTTAAATGGCACCAAGGCTGCCCCGAGAGGACGCAATGACGTAATGTGCAATCGAAGAATTCTCTCTTCACAGAGCATTCATTGTTATTTTACTGCTAAATCTAAGCTAAATAGTCACTGACTTGTGCTTTTGTTTCTTTATCGAGTGACACTCATATTTGAGTCTTCACGTCGTTCTCATTCCTTGACGTTCTAGACTTGTTAGTTATCTATTAATTTATGTTTGGTAATTCGTTGTCTATATGAACACGTACGGTTATATCAACTGCCTGCTAAGAAAGCCTTTGCGATTTCTATAAAAATATATTAGTGTTAATAACTATCTATTAATATCATTTATGTATTCTTGTTGTCTCGATTGCAAAAATATCTTTTTGCCGTCGAGACATGAAAGAAAGCGTTTTGAGTCAGCGTAGCTAGCTTAACGTTGCGAAGGGAGTTGTCAGAGGGAAAGGACTCCAAAAGGGGTAACAGAGTTAAAAGAAGCGCTCTATCCTATCGCCTCTCTTCTGGTAATACTTTCCCCGGTCTAGTTTCCTTGCGCTTCTTTACACTACAGGCTACGAACGTTGCACCGAACCATCCTCATTTTGAGCAAATGTTCATTGGGTCTCCTAAAAGAAGCGTAAGATTTTGGAAGAATCCGACCACATCTGATTTCTGATTGCTCAATATTATAATTAAAAAGGTCGGAATTTCTAAGAGTTTGCATTTTTGACGAAAACTGATCTGACAGCGCAGATGATGGGGCAGATTATGAATCCTTTACAAGTCAGCCCACRAAGATGGTTTGCATCTATGCGCCGTGCATCTGAAACTTCATTCTACAAAGAAGATCGTCTTAATAGAGTGACGATGATCGATGTACATATATTTGTCTATATATTACTTTCTATATTGGTATTTTGGTTTGACCTGGTGCTATGATATACATCCTCTCTTGGAAGGAGCACTAGACGATGACCCTATTGGACCCAGTGGAGCTGATCTATTCCTGAAACAGGACAAATCTTTTGTTAGTCTGCGGAGAAGCCAAGAAGCGACAGAAAGAGAATAAATGTCTCTAAAATACCGCCTGAAAAACTTGTAGTCCAAACTAGTGTCCAAGACTAAGTTTGAATTTTTAAAATTTGAACATACTAAATTTATCATTGGCAATTCACGCCTCGTGGATCCACACTACCTTGACAATGTGATGACGCAATTTATCGTCAATAAGAGGACAGACACATAAAAAAATAATAACAAAAACGATAAAAACTTCTCATTTTTAGCGATCAAAACAACCAACGGAAAGAGCGAGCGCTCATTGACGTCACCTTTATCTGTCTGTCTTCTTGATGATAAAAATGATAACCAATCAGCGCGCGAGAAATTCGTAAGTTATTGTAAAAATCACTCTTGCACCTATCTTCTAACAATATGAATATACGTAGGTGGATCAATGGTGCTGTTTAAGAGGATGAAGCTTACAGTCTATCAGAATAATACAGGTAATAATAGGTAATAATACAGGTTCCAATATATAGCAGGTAATACTTACCGTACACTTGGTGACACATCGTAATATCCGCTCTCCATCAGTACATTTTCAATGGTATTCTAAAAATCACATTAATATCATTAATAGCATGAAAATCTTTTTCCATATTTATTCTAAGATTGCTTCCGTTGGGTAAACAATGTTAGTATTGTTGCATCATAAAGTCCTGATTTCATAAAGTATTTATTGCCAATGTTCGTGGACTACATACAGCAGCTTTCCCAAATCCTTTAAACCAATCACAGATCGCCATATCACTGCTCATCCAGAGATATGTTTAAACACAGCACCGTCACGGTCACGGTACCGAATCTACGACATCGTTAAAAACCAATCACAGATCGCCAAAACACTGCTCATCCAGAGTAATGTTTGGAGAGATCACCGTCACGGTCACGGTGCGCAACTACGACATCGTTAAAAACCAATCACAGATCGCCATATCACTGCTCATCCAGAGATATGTTTGAACACAGTAACGTCACGGTCACGGTACGCAATCTAAGACATCTTTTAAACCAATCACTGCTCACCAAGTCTAGCTCATTCAGACACATGTTTGAACACAGCACCGACAAAATCACGGCACCGCATTCCGTACATTGAGTTCTTTACAGTCATATGACTTGTYGTGACTTAGTGTGGTATGTTTATAATAAATCTTATACAACGTGAAAACAGCTACCTGTATTGTTTCATAGGTAATCCCAATCTCTTGCTTGTCAACACTTTCTAATCCAGTGCCGCTGGCTGAAAAAATATGTAAATACTTGAGTTGATTATCACAACTGGCACCCTTAGGGAACCTGCTCAAGTTCAGTTCATTAATTCAAGTACTAGACGTCATGTTATTAAGTCAGGTACCTAGTTTATCGGTGGGACAGTCCTGTTGGTGACCCAAGAATGAAGGATCGCCAAACCAACTGTGAAGGTCAACAACTTCGCGTGAGCCTTCGATGACCTACGAACAACAAAGACACAAGACATAAAACGACCTGCTTCGGGTGGCCTGTGTTAATTAATTCGGAAACATATCCATACTGCAGTACGTATAACTATACCACATTTTATGACTACGCTTTATGAATCGTACTATAACGATAGGGAGCAATAGTAAGGTGTAAGCACTGGAAGTCACTTTCGTGATTGGGCCGATTTTTCCAGACGTATGTCGAAAACGAAAATAATCGGAATGCATTTCAAAGTTAATACATTGCTTGATTTTCATTCCACGTCATCTCCTGTCTCGTGCAGCTGAATCGCAAGTTTTCAATAGGATTGTCAGGTTTCTGGCTGAGAGCAGCAGGTGGTCGGTATTTGAACACTAGCACCTCTTAAAGATGCGAGATATTTAGTTGTTAACTCTAGTGTATATGATAGACAAAAGTTGATCTCGGTAGCCACGTAACTGAATCACGTCACAGAGTACATTATTTTCTTTTTCACACATAAACATTAGAGCGTGGAAATAAGTACAGCACACCTTGTACATAGTGTATTATGTACCGTAATAAACGAACAAATACCCTTCACGTTTAACGAATAATTGTTATAATGTTATTAGTTAATTATCCTTTGATAGAGTTAGTATGTACCTTTTTAATTTCGCTTTTCAAGTTGAATGAGCTGCTCTGTGGCGCGAAAAGTGCACGTTTGAACCGTTCTATTATTCTTCTTTGTGGATTGGGCGATAACGTTGGAGGAAGCTGAAAAAAGACAACAAAATAACCGGCTGAATACCTATCAAATAACCCAGCACCACCATAAACAAAACACTAGCATAACCAGCCCCGAACTGACATCACCAACCCAAACACCAGCATCACCAGCGCCAACAGAAGCAACAGCAACAACAGCAGCAACAGCGACAACAGCATCACCAGCGCCAACAGCAACAACAGCATCACCAGCCCCAACACCAGCATCACCAGTGCCGACAGCAGCAACAGCAACAAAAGCAACAACAGCGACAACAGCAGCAGCAACAACGACAACAGCAATAACACCAACAACAGCAACGACATACAAAACACTAGCATCACCACCGCCAACACTGACATCCCCAGCACCAAAAACAGTATCATCAGCGCCAACAGCAACAGCGACAATGGCAGCAACAACGACAACAGCAACATCACCAGCGCCAACAATGACAACAACAGGGACAAAAGCTACTGTATCAGCAAAATGCAGTAAAAACGACCGTTATCTGCGTGGTGGTTTACCTGTGTAATAAATATGATTTTATGCAGTTGATTTAAGATTTGTGATATTGGATCGTTGATTTGTCGAACTTTTCTTGGTGAAATGCTAAGAGTAGCAGCTGCAGTGGCTGAAAGTAAAAATGCATCATTTATCGACAAAGTTTATTACTTCGAAAAAATAAAAAACTGACCGTTTTAACCAAAGTTAAAATAATCATATAGATAATCAATAGGATTCGTAGGGGAAAATGCACTGGAAGGCAAGGGCTTGCTGTCTAGTACATTTTACCCTACTAATCTTAATGGAGTATTGCTTTGTTTCAGGGGGTTAAACAATGCGTCTCACCAGTGCAAGTGGCTTAGTTTGCACATTAATATTGAATCAACAATATGTATACTTTCTTATTCCTTTGGTAACCTAAAGACCTTTTGGCTTCGCTGTTTGTAGTGCACATTTCAGACCATGTGATGCCACTCTTGAAAGTTGATGTGTAAATATTTCAACATACTCGTGATAAAGGTAATGTCATGTGAACTGAAAATTTGCGATTTGCATACGAAGCTAAAAAGATCTATAACAGTAAGTTTATGGTACTAACGTGGTCTGGATTTGAGTTGTCCAGAAGTCTGTCTCCTGTATGCTTCAAGTGACGAACTAAAAAAAGAAAGAAAAAAGATATAGCATGCAGTGCCGATGCTACAGTCGTGAAATCTTTTCTATACAATAACGAGATGCAGCATCATTGACTATATATAGCAAATCCAACTAGATATCTATCATCAATGCTGCTTTCTGATTGGATGAGTTACTAGTGTAGCGAAAAGTGCCGGCTTTGAAAGCCAAAAAATGAATTTAACTTTAATTCGAGACTTGTTTGCATCTAAATATTTGACCGACTAGTTAAATTAGTCCTCTCACCCTCATGGCATATGAGTCAATAGCCCATGAGGCCTAATTGCTAAATAGACTTGCCGTAAGTACAACACTCATATTTCATCGAGGAAACGAGTGAACTGTCCTATCTATGCGATTTAATAACAGAAAGTCACAAGTGGTCAACTTTTTTAGCCTTGCAGGAATTTGAATTGCGTTTCGCGCCAAAACATCCAGCCGTACCTGCTTTGCGTTCTCCTCGTAACAGCAATGTCAACACTGCTGGGCGTAGTCACCACGGGTGAATTAGGAGTAGAAATCGCTATACTGTTCCCTCCATTTATCGTTCCCGTAGTTTTATTACTAGGAAATAGTTCTAGGTTAAGCGGTCTTCGTGCCCCTTTGCGTTGACCTGGGGGCTTAGGTATAGCGAAATTATCACCGGACTTATCGTATTTAGATCTGCTACCAATTGGAGTTTTCTCTGGAGTTCCTTTCATTCCTTTATCTCCGGGAGTCTTTAGAGGGTTCAGTTCTTTTCTTGAAGTGCGTCTTGTACTAGATAAGTTAGGTGAGGACGAGCTTAATGCCTTTATGTTAGATTCATTGATGATATCACTACTTGTTCCTGAAGATCCAGAATTGTTTGAGCTGGATTYGGTGTTTATGAATATACCCGCATCTGTAGATCCAGGCTCGCCTTGGTCGCCATTGTCGAAGACCATGTCGGTGTCAGAGTCCCTTACTCCTTTAAGGCCAGCAGCTCCACCGCTGCTTGATAGATTGACAAGCTTATCGTAACGTTCTTGAGAGGCCCAAAATAGGCGATGATAATTCTGCATGTTCCGCGTGGCTTCTAAGTAATGCCTGAAACAAAATATTGGATAGTTATAGATATATACGTTGTACGCCTGGTGGCAAAACGATCGACACCAGTGTAAAAACGTTAAAGGTAGAATATTCAAACACTTGCCCTCGGCACTGGATGTAATATATCCGAGTGCCAAAAAAGATAAAGGTTTTTCCCGCCAAAAAAGGAAAATTTCCCAAATTTCGCGCCAATAAAGGAACATAAAGATAAAGGCTTTTTCCGCCAATAAAGGAACATTTCCCACCTAATTTCCAAACCAGAGTACGAGCATGCGCAGTTACTTCTCTCTCGTGCCATCGAATGGTATAGGAAAGAAATACGAAAGACAGCTGGCTGAATTACCTTTGTGTCCTCTTGCGTTCTCGTTCGAGTTTCTTTTCAAGATTAATTTCGTTAGCCCTCAGTTTATCCATGTATACCAGCATCACATCACTGATGATTGAACCAACCTTAAAGGGGAAAAATGCATTAATTTGATGAAATATTTAAATTGTGTATAATGTGTCGTATAATGCTGTATTGTTTGTTTTGCTGCAGTCAGGAGTATAATGGTTTGTCATTTGATATCACCAAGAGAATATGAAGTACTTAATATTCTCTTGATATCACTGATTTGATATGCAGCGTGGTGTATGTTGTCCGTGGGGTATGTAATGTGAGGTGTTGTTCAGTGAAATCGTGATTTGTGAGAAATCACTGATTTATTATGTGACGTTGTGTGGTATATGTTGTCTGTGGTGTATGTTGTGTAGGGTGTGGTGTAGGGTGTGGTACAGAGCGGCTCTGTTTCACGATACTTTTAGACTAACCTCCACAATATCAGGCCTTTCGCTTGGATCTGCCGTTAAACACCTTGAAAGACAAAAAAGAAACAGTAATGTTTTCGGTATAAAAAATATTACTAGCAGTCTCTCTTGCTCTATGGGTTGCCTGTTCTCCGATTTTCCTCAGGTAGTATTGTACTAAGTTATAATTATAATCCCAATTCGATCTTAAGTATTATAGCGGTACCCTAACCAATCAGACTAAAGATTGTTTCAGGGTTGGATAAGACTGTTAGGTGGTTAGTTCCTTACCTTCTCACTGTTTCGGTAACTTTATCAGAATATTGTCCCGAAGGTATTGGGTCATACTTGGCCTCAACAATCTAATCAATACAAAACCAGTGTTAGGCTATATTTTGGATAGCAGAGAGGAAAAAAATCCAAGACATAGACAGATACCTTTGTGGCTAATGCTAACATATTGGAAGAAAAGAAAGGGGGTTTTAGGGTTGCCATCTGGTAGAGTATACACCCTGCGGCCCAGACATCTGCCTTCTCACCGTATGGTTGGCTTTGCACTACCTCAGGGCTGTGGCACAAATGAAAAAATATATTAGAAATATATATTCTAAGCAGTATCTCCAGGGGATGATCTAACGATATTTGTCCTACACTTACCAAGAGTAGAGTATCGTTCCAACGACAGACATCATCTTGCTTGCATCCGGGTTCTTTTGCTTGGCAAGACCGAAGTCAGCTGCAGAAAAAAAAAAAGGATTACCAGATTAGTATGACCATTTTCACAAAATAAGGGACAGAAAAACTATCTGTTATAATGTTATAATAAAGGTGATACGCAACCGATGTAGCTGAATAATTTGGGCTGTAAATTTCATGCGAGGGTAAAAACTTCATTGTGAGGAAATTATAACCTTTGAACCAATCACAGTTCGAGAGCTTAGCTCTAATCCAATCACAATGGTGCGTCATATATAGATAAAATTTGAAGGCTTTTTAATATGATCTGCTCTAGAGTAAAACCTGAAGGTGACATAGTTTATGGAATGTATGACGTTATTGAAGAGGCGGGGGTCAGTTCATTTTCTTGGATATGGCTTATGGAATGGCTGATGAAATGACAAATTATTTCTTTAATCTATAAATCAGTGCGGAACTATAGAGGTTTTGCACCATCAAGTACCCACGTCCATAATATAGCTTGGGCTGCCTGTGGTTAGATGGCAGAGCAATAAAATTCATTTGCTCTTGGAAATTGAATTATAGTTCTTTGTCGTGTAAAACGATTGTATTGTTCCTGCCATCTAACATGCCTGCCGTCACGTGATAGTGCAAAATCTCTATTGGTTCTATAACTCATGGAGCGAGTACTAAAAATGGGCAATGATCGTGGAAAAATATCAGAACAGGTGAATTAAGTAAACCAACGAACCAGCAAAACAACAGGTAGAGCATGAAGCCAACTTACTGATAGTAACTTTATCGTTTTCTCCCAACATGATGTTATTGGGCGTAAGATCTCGGTGTACGATGTGTTTCTCTTTATGAATGTACCTTAATCCTAATACGATCTGCAGTGAGTAAAGACACAATCTATGAATATTATGAATATAGCAAAGACAAGCACCCGCCAACTCTGGGTTTCCACAAGCCTTCATTTCATTCTGAAACCAAGCGGAAGTCCATTTAGGAATACGATTCCCTTAATTGTCCCACTCCAAAGAGAATGAATGACTATTATCTCGTATGCTATGAATATTAAAATACCTGGATGAAGATATGCCATATTCTTTCTTCAGTAAATCTACTACGCTTCTCAATCAATGAGTTAAAGTGTTCTCCCATTGGGGCGCCCTCTATAAGCTCCATTACGATATAAAGTTTTTCCTCTGGAAAAACAATATGCAAAAATTTACGTGAATTTACAAACTATAATAAAAATGTATTCCTGTCGTACAGTTTGACCGTGTTTTTGTGTGTGTGTGAGATTTTCAGTGAGCAAACTTTTCGTAGCCTAATTTTGGGGTGCATGTGACCTCATCGCTGCCATGTTGGTTGATTTCTTTTGTCCTGATGTCATCCAATATGGCGGCCAAGTCTTGGTTGCACGTTAAGAATACAACATTTGTAGCACAATACTTTCTAACTACTACCTATAGCTATGTGTCACAAAATTTGTTTATTCACAAGCTACTTACTGTCTTCAAATGCTTTATGATATCTAACGATATTGGGATGTCTCAACTGTGGAAGGAAATTAATTTAAAAAGCTTAGCAGAAGGGTCAGTTGTTCAAAGCCTCATTAGTTTGACCCGTTTTGTGAGGGATTCTCGGTCTTCTCAAGAAATTGCCTTTGCTCTACTGTAACTCATCAGTAGGTCAATGACAGTATCATTTTGTCAAGACTGTCGACTTGGCTTTAACCTTGGCCAGGCGGAATTCTCTGGATCCATCCCCTACTCTTAACCCTGATATGCTGGACTTAAGAAAGATAAGATACTCTGAACTAAACACGCGATTTATTACCTGTTCTTTCATGATTATAGTTTCATTCACTATTTCTCCAACACTCTGACCACGTTCCTTTGCTGTCTTACCCAGTGTGGGGCTGTGTACTGAAATCTAGAAAGCAAACAACGTTACTAATAGCTTGAGGGATAACTTAGATCAGTTAACCCTTGCTTCAAAAACTAAGTGTAATTTCCATTTTTCACTGCCTAACAGTCCCTCTCGAGTCTCCACCCAGTTAAAAAAAACTTTGGGTTACTTCCAAGAAACTGAAGGAGGGGGCATTAACCCACAATAGACCAGCATCCCTTTCAAAGGGTTAAAGTAGTGACACACTAATAGCTTCAAGAAACCAGAGATCATTATACAACGGTGATGAGTTCGTGCCTCCCACAATCTCAATCAATTGGGAAATACTTCAGTACGAGCTAAAACCTTACCTCTTTCATAGCAAGCATCGACTGTCCTCCGTGCCTTTTTCTCACCTAATAAGAATTATAAGATAATTCAAATAAAACGCGCACTCTGAATGGTCAGTTTTTTTAGATCGTGAGGAAATGACGCCAGCACGCGCGTGGATAAAAAAAAAAAAAAAAAGGAAGAAAATGATTGGAGTCGGTGTGGAAACAAACTCTAAATCACTCTATACTACGACACGTGCTTTTAATTTCCTAGTACTTCTCTCGGCTTCTTACAATTTCCCGTGTACGTATCATATACAACTCAACATACCTTGAGCACGCGTTTTCGTTTTTATTTCTCTTCGACATTAGCCCTTCGTTTCTCTTTCATTGTTGCATGGTGTACGATATAAAGTAAGAGAGCGCGTACAAGCTATACATTACCTTGAATACACTGCCAAACGCACCAGAACCGAGTAGTTCTAACACTTCATATGAACCAATGATTTTGATAGGCGCCTTGTATTGATTGATGGCTAGGATGTTGTTACGTATGGTGCTGATATCTTCTTCCTGTCAATGTATGTTAACAAGACATTTGAATGGCATCTTTGATATGTGAACGAGTAAACGAATGGTGATAGTACACGAAAGAATAGACCCCTTGCAGCACGTCGGACTGCAGCTCAATTTGGAGGACATAACAATAGGTTTTCCAATTCTCATGAGATTGAAATTCTTTTGTTTTGTCCTCCCAATTGAGCTGTTTTGACGTCACATGCAAGGGGTCTACAGACGGGTAAAATCACTAACGCACAAACTAAAGAATGCATGCGCGAACGCACGCATAAACAAATGACGGACAGAAGAACAGACAAAACAAACAAATGATTTGCCCTGCAGCATTTTAATAACGATTAGTTCTGGCGGTGGAAATTCTTCGCGTTTTTCGCATTCAATTATCCAGTGAAGGCATGTTTTATGGTGTTTTAGCATTCATCAATCAAACTCCTAATGGTCCAAGAAATTAAAAGGCAGGATGATATGCGAAAAACACGAAAGATCTCAAAGCATTTGACAAAACAGTACAAAAAACTGTTACATGGTAATAAAATCATTGTTCTTCTTACCGATACACTATTAAGCTCTTCAACAAGTTTCTTGTAAGCATTCAAGTCCCGTACGTAGTGGCCAACATCGATGAAGCTCTCAAAGAGACTTGGAGGAAATAGCCTACGGTAGCAATACGGATTCTAAGGTTAGAATCAAACATGTGCAGGTGATCTGAGAAACGTTTTTAGCCAAACAATCAGAATCTAGAAAATTTGCAAAACTGAGGTGTCACTATTCCTCTTCAAATTATGGATTTCCAGACCACCAAATAAAGAAACTTTGCTTATAAGAGGTTGATAACAATAACACAATAGCTAATAAGTTATATATATTATTATTGTTGGTGGACAGATTTTTGTTTTTCGCCGGTCAATTTTTGCAAGCTTTATGACAACTCAGTTTTGCAGTGAAGTCATTTCTACGTCACTATTTCAGATCAGCTGGATGCTCGCGAGGAAACGATGCATTACTTGATAAAAGTCACCTTTTAAATAATTGTCTGTTCCTTTCCATGCTGAAAAGAAATCTGAAAATTAAATTCAAAAACACAAATGGTTAGTAGAGAATAGAATTGCGCAGAAGCTTGATAATTGTAGTTATGGACTTGTGGTTTAGTTCTTACCTTAAGGCTCTGAAGGCACTTTTCTGTTATAAGTAAAGAAAAATAGGAATTGAAAAATATATTACAAATATAAATATTATATTGCAAATTTTAATAAAATAAATAATAAATTAATAAATTTTTAATAAATAATAATATTTGCAAAATTTACTATTCCATCACAGATAATGGCACGAATTTTGCTTTTTTCTTCCCTTTTTCACATTTTCTCTTGTCTTCTCTTTTCTCTCCCTCTCTTCCTTTGCTTTCCTTCTGTTTTGCCTTGTTATTTTTACCCCCTCCCCCCGCGGAGACATTTTGTGCGAGTATTCACTATTATACCTGTATGTTCTCAACAGCCGCAGCTTCTTCGCTCGTGGATGTTTCTTGCGGTAATATCAACAGACCCAAAAGATAGACACCATTTGCCTGTACGATTTGCTGTCCATTCGTATCGTTGAGAACCAGCTCAGTCAACGCTGCACAAACCGCTGAAGTAAAAAAGAGTTCACAAAAAGTGATTATATATTGTATGGAATACTGTTTAGTCTGCCGGTATACATGCCCCCCCCCCCCTCCCCCTAAGATGGAACGAAAGGGTTGGGGTCTCAAGCTCATTTCCTTGAGCGTCCATCTTCCATATCTTCCGACACCTAGTACTGATAATACCAGGCCGTAATATAACTAGGACTAAACCATTTAGTATCCAAGCGAAGACGTATCAATATCAGTCTCTGTCAAGATAATACTAGTGGTTAGAGCATGGCACCGGAATCGCCAGGGCACGGGTTCAAATCCCGTCCAAGACTCGGAATTTTTTCTGAGTCTTTCAATTTGCAGCTGCTTAAATTGCTTGATATACTGCGAGGATCAGCTCAATTTGATACATTACAACCGCAGTACAAATGTATATACTTCATATATATTCTCCTACACAAAAAATAATACTGCGACTACGGAAACTTCGTGCACAGTCAAAGAAAATGTACCAATGGATGAAATGACACCTACCAGATTTAAGAGAGAGTTGATCTTCTAGAGGATCACTATCAGCCTAAATGGAAAACACACAGGTATACAATTTCAATGAATCCCTTATAACGAAAGACTGCGTATTGAGAGGATGGGGTATAATAAAATAATGAAATAAAATAATAAATATAAAGCAAAACTGGAAGGGTGGAAGGATATTGTCAGAGACGGAGATGGCACCACGTTTCAACGGAGGCACTATCAATGGATCCATCCTACCTCACTACTAGTTGACGCTCTCGCTACATCACCGTTTGTATAACCAATCTCTCCCGACTGTCCTCTACGATCCCTAGAAAAAATATATAAATAAGTACTGTACTCATATACATGTACAACAACCATGATTGTTGAAACAAGAAATAAGGCGCGCACTTCTTGAGAGGAAGTACGACTTTTTCTAAGGGGGAGGGGGTACACATATGAGAGTATGTTACACAGATACGTTAACAGCCGACTAAAGCTTTGTATTTTCTCATCGTCCCTATGTATCTTGACTTACTGTAATAAGCCCAGTAGAAGAGGAATTCCTCCCAGTAGTCGAATGTCATTACTAGAATCAGGATCCTCTGCTAGCTGTACAATAATCCACACCTACAGAGACATACACCAGTCATAGTTAGGTACTACTATATTGAGCAGTTTTCGTATGACYGTGAAAAGACTGTGAAAGTGAGCGTGCCGCGCCTTGACCGTGATGTTTTCTAGAATTTTAATTGGCTGATTTTTCCTCGCGCAATGTAATTGGTCTGACAGTGCCGTGACCTTGGCGTGACCGTGTCCTCGCCGTGTTCCAGTTATTTGATTGAATGGAGAGTAAATTCTCGAGCATATGATTGGTCTGATGTATCCCTTGCCGTGTCACGTCCGTGTTCTTGCCGTGAACCTTTCACAGTCATACGAAAACTGCTCTATAGAGACTGTTAGGTCTGGATCAGCCAGGAGATAGTGGGACTTGAAATGCAATTGTGAGGTAATCCCACCCAGGGATTAGGTGGCTCAATTTTCATCCAGTCTCGCTTATCACATGATACATACCATAGTTCATAAACCCAATAAAATGAATAGTTGAATAATTCTCCCGGTTAGTTATTCCGAGTTGCACTTACCACATTCCATAAGAATTTTAGGTTTTCTTCGTGTAGTAAACTGCAATCAAAAATTCAATGGTCATGCAAGAGTCAGGAGTGGTTACAGGAGTTTGGAAAGGAGTTATAAATGTTGGCCTAACTAAAAATAAAAGACTTTCAGAGGACTTTACTAGCTATTTTCTAATTACATGGTTATAGTTATAGTCTATTATTTGAGGTTTGATAGCTGTTCCAGTGCAACCACATCAACCAAGGACACCATTTTAAATCAAATTCCCAGATCACGCTTTAGATGCTGAATAGCATACACACGCGTAAAAATTTGCTTTTAAAAATGCGAAAACTTGTCGGATTCTATTGTTTAAATGCTCAATCGTGATTGCCTTATATTTGAATAAAAATTTGTCTGAGTGGCCTTGGTTGGAATAGTCACACTCCCGGGGAGGGGGGGGGGGGGGGGGGTACTCCCCTATATTCGCTATACGGGTACGTGCCGCCAAACAGGGTATGGTTTTCAGCTATTTTACTCTGGAACAGGGTATATAAAATCGCGTTCGCTCTGGGACAGGGTATGTGAAATCATGCTCTCTCCTCTCTGGA